CTAATATATGTTGTAATAAAGAAAAGTATCAGTATATTCATATATTAAAAATGAATGCAGAGATAAATAAGAGATGAGGCAAAAATAAAGTAGTCCTTTAAATAAAAAAGTAGATAGGAAAAAAAAATAAACAGAAAAGTTATATATATATATATATATAAAATATATAATATATATAATATAAATCATTTTTTACAATGTGTGTATGACATAAATTAAGAATAGAATCAGTATTTGAACTAAGTAAAATTTATATATATATAAAATGTATGGACAGATATATAATATAAAATATATGTTTCAGGAGCTTGACAATTATGTATATGATTTGTATTGTGCACAAACTTCTAACGACTTATGGTTTAAAAATGATGAAGATAATATATTGGTACGACAACCAGATTACTCAGACTTAGTAGAATTTGAACAAGATGATGAATCTTCAGATTCTAATGCAGCAACAAATTGGAAAAATGATTATCCCGATACGGATCCTGATCGTACATCTGAATTATCATTCAATGATTATTTCGATATTTCTGGCGATGAAAACGAATGTGATGAATTCAGAAGAATTATAGATAATTATGGACTGTGCCGTTTTCCGTCCGTCACAAGGGTCGCATGGCCTGACCGAATAGTGCAGTGTAGCGTCCTGGGTTCTCTCATATTTTGGGGGCGGACGCATCTGCGCTTTTCCCGCGTCGTCGTTGCGTACCTTACGCGTTCCACGCTGTCGTTTTTATTTTCCCGTTCGGTGTTTCCCGTACCGAGAGTTACAGAGGCCGGCGACTCCCGCGACCTTGGCGGAGTGACACAATCTCACCGGGGAGAAGAGGAGGAAGAACGACCAGGATTGAGAGTCCAGAGACGACCGCTGAGGACAGACCCGCCGGGAGGCACAATACCTGGCCCCGGGTCGCAGGTGATATCCTTCCCGCATTGTAAGCTTTTTTGATTATCGCAGAGCATTTTTTATCGCACCCTCTTCCAGGCGCAAAGCGGATCGAGAGTCGGCACGACATGACGGGGAAGGCCACTCTACGCTACAAGGACGGCGAGAGCCCCGGATAGGCGCCTCGAGGCCACGAGGCGGCTTGAGAAAGACTATCGTGATCTCTCGAATTTCGCGCGACATGCGATGAACGAGACGGTTTCCGCGATTAGTGGAAAGCCGCGGGGCCACGCGCCAATCAGGCGCGATAAGGCCCCCCTCGCGGGGATAACGAGCTCTGCGTGCGCCCGGGAGGATTAGCGCCCGGCACTTGAGCTGTGGCCTGCTCAGAGAGAGCAGGACGTCAGAGAACTAAGAGCCTTCCAAGGTCAGCTAGGATGAGCACCTGCGAGGGAGCCGCGGTGAGACGAACGTAAAGTCGCCGGGTTCCGCGTCCGGGAGGCGTAGCTATCGGATTTTTACCGGACGTAATAGTGAGTGCACGTAGCCTTGCCGTGTGCCAGAGTTTCGCGGGATTAGAGTACGCGTGTCGCTTCCCGGAACGATCCTTGTCGTCGGGATAATTCTAGGGCGTCCGCCAAGGCCACAGCCTCGTCATTTGTGTCGGTTTTTCTTTTTATCGCGGATCATGTTGCGTCGAAGTCCCGTGCCGTAGTCTTGTCGCGTATCGTCTTTATCGTCCGTAGCATAAGATTAGACAATAGCGATTGTCTGTTTATTCGGTTTTTGTGTCATAGCCCTTAAAGTCGATTGATAATCGCAATTGATGAGTGTGCGTATTCTATCGTATCGAGATTGTGTATTACTGAGCTTGCACGTATTCGAGCCTTCCCTGCATCGCGTCTGAGCAAAGCTGAGTTCCGCGAGCGCGAACGAGGTCACGCCGTGTCCACGCTACAGGCTGCCGAATTCCTTAGCATTTGCGAGGCGATGAAGTATGATTCGTATAATTCGCGAAAGTATTTCCGTGTGGCGTGAGCTCGTGTCGCGGGAATGTAATGAAGTTGATACGCCTAGCGTAAACTCTCGCGGCCTATGTAAGTCAGTTATCGCGCTCAAGTAGAGCTTATAGTCTTAATTGTATCGGATGTAACTGTGAGTCGAAGACTCGTTTAATATATTTGTTACTTTTGTTACTGTTAAATTCGTGTGTACTTTATTCTCGCTCTTATTCGCTCCTCCAAACGATCTGCTATCCTCGACCACGAATCGCCCCCTCTGCCATTTCCGAGGCTGAGCTACCGGTTGAGACCCGTCGACATGAGCAGCTCATTAAAAATGGCATAACGAAAATATCGCGTAATTTCTAGAAAGAGCGGCACGCTCGCTCGTGCCTGGCGCCCAACTATGGTCTTATGATTATGTGCCGCCCTTGAGAGCGGTCGCGGGAAGACGCATTTTTGTCACGTTTCGTTTAACGCCACCCGGCATCCGATCGCCTACGAGAACCTTAGCTGTGAATGTGCTGACGAAGTTGCGCCACGCTCGTGAGTGCGGTTGCAAGACATATCCGCAAGAGAAGAAACGAAGAAAGCAGTAGTTCACATAGCGATTGGTTGGAGAAAAACATGTCAGATAAGGAAGAAATAGAAGACGAAATATCTTCTAATGAAGAAACATCAGATGACGAAAGGATGGAAGAGAAATTTTATACATTGTCAATAAATAATGAAGACATGTAGTTATATAATCTGAAAATTGTTCAAATTAGAAATAAAAAAAGGAACGAATTCATAGATGAGACCCGTATCGTTATTTTTCGTCACTACCTCCCCATGCCGGGAGTGGGTAATTTGCGGCGTGTTGCTTCGCCGTCGTTACCTCCGAACTCGAAATACGGCTAAGTCCCGTCGCGGCGTGTTTCTTCGCCGTCGATTCCTCCGAACACAATATATGGCTAAGTCCCGACGCGGCGTGTTGCTTCGCCGTCTTTATCTCCGAACTCGAAATACGGTTAAGTGCCGTCGCGGCGTGTTGCTTCGCCGACGTTACCT